TGTGTGTGTGTTCAGGTGCGGATCAACTTGGGAGCTGGCGAGTCTGAGTTGTCCTCTCCTCCGGGGCTGCGTCTTGATGATCTCTTCTGGCACGAGGTCAAGATCTCCCGCAATACGGCAGAGATGATCCTCACCATTGACAACATCCACACTACCAGGTAGGTCACGACCTGCACTGTTACCATCACCAGCACCAGGTAGGTTACGACCTGCACTGTTACCATCACCAGCACCAGGTAGGTCACGATCTGCACTGTAACCATCACCAGCACCAGGTAGGTTACGACCTGCACTGTTACCATCACCAGCACCAGGTAGGTTACGACCTGTACTGCTACCAGCACCAGGTAGGTCACGATCTGCACTGTTACCATCACCAGCACCAGGTAAGTCACAACCTGCACTGTAACCATCACCACCATCAGGTAGATCACGACCTGCAGCACTGCTACTCTCACCACCACCAGGTAGGTCACGACCTGTATTACTACCCTCACCACTACTAGGTAGGTCACGACCTGTTCTAATAATATTATCACCATCAGGTAGGTCACGACTTGTGCTGTTATCCTTACGAACACTAGGTAGGTCGTGACCTGTTTTACTACCCTCACCACCACCAGGTAGATCACAACCTACATTGTTACCCCTCACCACCACTAGGTAGGTCACAACCTGCACTAGTGCCATTATTACCACCAGATAAGCCACGACTTGGACTGCTACCCTCACCACCACTAGCAAGGTCTTCACCACCACCAACAGTGTCCTCACATTCACCAACTGGTCTCTCACACACAAAACTTCCTTTACTCCTTCCAATCATTCCTAGGAGAACCCATACCCCGCCTTCCACTACAGATTTATCCACCCTCCAGATAACCATATTTTGTTACACCCTCTCTAAATGTCCAGACCTCCTCAACAACCCTTCTTCAGTCCACTGGATAATGCTTTTAGTAACCCCACACCTTCTGATCTCCAAGCTTCGAATTCTCTGCATAATATTCACATCACACTTAGCCCTCAGACACAACATCTCCACTGCCTCCAGCCTCCTCGCTGCAACATTCACAACCCATGCTTCATACTCATATAACAGTATTGGTACCACTATATTCTCATACATTTCCTTTTTTGCTGCCATGGATAACATGTTTTGTCTCTACAGATTCCTCAATGAATGTTAAAAAATGCGACATCTATTAAGTGAAGACATCTCCAGAGAATACTAGAAAGTCAACTTATTGATCTCCCTCTAGCATCTAGCCTGTTTCTGATTTTGTAATAGTTTGTCAGAGTGATTCCAGTCCAGTTATCCCGTAAATTATGTGGCTTCTCAATAGCGGTTTTGGATTGCAATTAAACGAATACAGACCAACTAAATAACAGTTGAGAACTTTAATAACAAAGGTATCTAGGAGGTAATAAGTACGGTTAATATAACTTGAATAATAAGAGATAACTCCTACACAAGTCTTGAATTTATAACTATGATATTAATTATACCAAGTTATACTCCAAAAGTTCTGTAGGAGCTTCTTTTCTAAAGTATTCAAATTATATTAACTGTAATGATTACTCCTCCTAGTCACCTTCGTTATTAAAATTCCCAGCTTTTATTTTGCTGGGTTGTTGAGGAGGTCTGGACATTTAGAGAGAATGTAAGAAAATATGATGACCTGGAGGGTGGATAAATCTGTAGTGGAATGCGGGGTAGGGGTTCTCCTAGGAATGACTGGAAGGAGGGAGTAAATGAAGTTTTGTGTGTGAGAGACCAGTTGGTGAATGTGAGGACATTGTTGGTGGTGGTGAAGACCTTGCTTGTGGTTATTCTGAACATGTAATTATATGGTACTAAGGGCACATTTGATAAGATATAGTACTACTCTTAATATGTAACATCTGGTTCACTACAATGATGAGATGTTCTCATAGTTCAAGGATAGTGTAGGTGTGGAAGCGTATGTGTTTGTGAGTGCTTGGAATGTGCTCTATATGAATCGACATAGACTTATAATGTCCCTAGATAAACTAACTTCTGGACCATCGAGGCAATCAAACATCTTGCTTGAACAATATACCAACCCATTTGCCAAACAGTAGCAATGCTCAAAGCAGTAGTGAACAGCACAGCATCAAGCAAGGAGTAATAAAGGAGTCCAAAATGACTATAACTGTGGACCTTCAGCAGATCCTACACAGAAGGTATAAAAGTCCCATATTTCTGAAACGAGCTCAGCAATTCCAATTACACTATTACGACAGTGTGAAGATGCCAAAACAAATGTAGGCTCAGAGTTGATCTCTGGACCTGATTGTATATATATATATATATATATATATATATATATATATATATATATATATATATATATATATATATATCTGAAAACCTCAAATATCACTAAGTTGAACTAATACTCTGTGAAATGAGTTGCACAGAGATACAAGAGGTATGTTCTGACTCGCTAAAGGAGACTTACTCTTCCAAAAACAGTCTAAATAAGATGAGCTGAGGAGAACAGCATTCTCCCAGATAGAGCAGAGATGGAGGTGTTTAGCAGGAGAGAGAAAGAAGTAGTAGGACTTGCAAATACATCGTCGGGTGACTCGTACCAGTTTATGCCTGGCACGATCTATGAAACAAACGAGCAGGTAGTTAGCAGTGTTGACAACCAATCAAAACTCTCCATCAAGAAGCTCAATGAGATTTGTAGTTGTTATATCGTACCTACGTAAGCTAATAATGTAAATCATATAATATAAAGCTATTAACATAAGAACATAAGAAAGAAGGAACACTGCAACAGGCCTACTGACCCATGCGGAGCAGGTCCATGTCCCCCACCTGGATTAGCCCAATGACCCACCCAGTCTGGTCACCTCCATCAAGGAAGGAGCCCGGCACCAGACACAGCAGTACAAGCTAGTCAGGACCAACTCACACCCACCCACACCCACTCATGTATTTATCTAACCTATTTTTAAAACCACACAACGTTTTAGCCACAGTAACTGTACTGGGGAGTTTGTTCCACTCATCCACAACTCTATTACCAAACCAGTGCTTTCCTATATCCTTCCTGAATCTGAATTTTTCCAACTTGAAATCATTGCTGCGAATCCTGTCTTGGCTGGAAATTTTCAGCACGCTATTTACATCCCCTTTATTTATTCCTGTTTTCCATTTATACACCTCGATTATATCCCCCCTAATTCTACGCCTTTCGAGAGAGTGCAGATTCTGGGTGCTCAGTCTATCCTCATATGGAACATTTCTGATACATGGGATCATCTTTGTCATCCTCCTCTTTACGTTTTCCAGAGCATTTATATCCATTCTGTAATACGGTGACCAGAACTGAGCAGCATAGTCTAAATGAGGCCTAACCAAGGATATATAGAGTTGAAGAACAACCTGAGGACTTCTGTTATTTATACTTCTAGATATGAAGCCAAGAATTCTGTTAGCTTTATTGCGAACACTAATGCACTGTTGTTTTGGTTTTAGATTACTGCTAACCAGGACACCTGAATCCTTTTCGCAATCAGTAGTATTAAGATCTACATTATTTAGTTTATATGTGGCATGGTTATTTTCCTGTCCAACATTTAGAACTTTGCATTTGTCTATATTAAATTGCATCTGCCACTTCTCCGACCGTTGCATTAGTCTATTCAAATCATCCTGGAGTGCTCTAGTGTCCTCATTAGAATGAATTGGACGGCCTATTTTGGTGTCATCAGTAAATTTGCTTATGTCGCTATTTATTCCCTCATCTATGTCGTTTATGTAAATTGTGAACAACAACGGGCCCAACACTGACGCCTGTGGAACACCGCTTGTGACGTGCCCTCATTCTGATTTCTCTCCATTTATGCAAACTCTCTGCTGCCTATTTGTCAACCACGCCTCTACCCAGGAAAAAATTTCTCCTCCTATTCCGTGTGCCTTAAGTTTCCTCAATAGCCTCTGACGTGGAACTCAGCAATATAAAATTATATGGAAAAGCAATATATACATAATATTTATTGTGTCCTTTTCTAAGGGTGGAACAGTGCGCCATTCATCTTTTATTCCCTCATCAGTTCTATGGTTCACATCGTCTTTCAAAGACTCTTGCTGGTAAGTCCACTCCCAAGTATCTTATAATCCCACATCTTTCTCCAACATCCTAGCATACACTTCTCTTTCAATTCCCATCGATAATATTTCAGACAACCATGGTAACATCACGTATCCCTGTCTAGTGCCTACTTTTTAGTGGAGAATAATCCTTTTTTTCTCCCACATACCCTAATCTGAGCCTCACTATCCTCATAAAAAGATTTATCTGTTTTCAATAATCTACCACCTAGTCCATACATTTGTAACATCTGCCACATACTTCCCTATGCACCCTATCATATGACTTTTCCAAATCCATAAATTCAGTGGAAATCTCTTTACTCATATCTAAATACTCATATGCTTGACTCACGGAATCGTAATGACAAAATTGTAAACAAACCATACCACAGGCGGGGAATGAACTCGTGGCGAGTGAGTCGTAAAACTCCAGGCCAGCATGTAAGCCACTATACCAGCTGGCTACAATAAGATTCATCCAACTAAGTATATTTATACACCATAGAGAGGTTAGCACAGCTGGCCAAGTGCCTTACGCGCTGGCCTAGAGTTTTACTACTCACCACGAGTTCAATCCCCGTCCGTGATATGGTTAACTCATATGCTTCGTTGTAAACACCTGGTCTACACTTCCTGTATCCTTCCTAAAGCACCCTTATTCAACTGCGATCCTGTTCTTAATTCATTCAAATGATAACTCTACCATACACCTTACCCGGTATACTTAGTAGCCTTATTCCCTTACAGTTATTGCATTCTTTTGTCCCATTTGCCTTTACATAAAGGAAGAATGCATCCTCTCTGCCGCTCTCTAGGTACCTTCTTTGATTTCATACATTTTTTTAAATAAAAGCACCAACCAGTTGTTTAGGTATGGAAAGAATGAAGAACTCAAAAGAAACACTGTATACAAAACTCAATAAGATCATCAACTAGAATGAAAGGAACACGGGAATAACTATTTCAGCTGACCTTTCTTTCAAAGAACACAATAAGGCAAAGGTCATGACGTGGTGGGTATTGAGA